GGCCAGTGCACTTTACTTCGCCGTAGTCTGCTGGGGGAGCAGCATTGGAGCCGGAGACACCAACAGACTTAATAAACTGGTTAAGAAGGCCGGCTCCATCATTGGCTGCAAACAAGACAATCTGGAAGAGGTGGTGGAGAAGACACTGAAGAAATTATTATCCATATTGGATAATCCGGACCACCCTCTCCACCACCTACTGCAGGGACAGCGGAGCACTTTCTCCAACAGACTGATTCAGCTCTGCTGTCACAAGGACCGATTCAGAAAAACATTCCTGCCCACTGCCATTAGACTTTATAATAAAACACCTCGGGCCAAATCATCGTCCTTCACATGACTACAACGCTACACGGTTGTTGCTTGTTGTTGGTGATCCTTGCTCTACTGTCCAGTTTGTTTAATTTACTAGTTGTTAATTTAATTAATACCACTCTATTCATTGTATATACTGTGCATTTCTATTTTTTATTCTATTTTATCTTATTTTTTATTAATCTATTCCCTCAAATTCAATATCTGCTCTGTTATTTTATTGTACTGTATATATTGCGCATTCCATACGTTATATTTTACTCTGTAAATTGCTGCTGCTACAATCTAATTTCCCCCTGGGGATGAATAAAGTTTATATCTATCTATCTATCTATCATTGCTGAATTTGGATATAAAGTAAATAGTAAGCATTTCTATCAAGTTCTATTCGATGCCCTGCTCATTAGTTGCACATTAGTTAAAATGAGAAGATTGTCCAGAGTAATCTGCAGCTTTTTCACATGATTTATCATATATTCTCAAATTGTGATTTAATTTAAAGAAACTATACGCTTAATCACATTTAGACTTTATATCATGATTATAATGTCCTAGTCAGTTTTCACTGACCTGACTGAGCATGTCCTTTTTAAGGTGCATACATGCTTTTAAAGTGTTCACCTCTTTCTTCTACACTCATACAGCAGATTCATATAGGTCTCTATAGGGATAATGAGCTGATCAGCGGTGTATGTTGGCCAGCGGTCAAAGGGGCCGTCATAAGTCTGCTAAATCACTAACCGGCTTAACGGGATATTAATCATCGTCCACTTAGCACAGGAAAGGGAGGAAGTGGAGGAATAAAAGAACTGATAGAAGAGAGACGACAGAGAGGAAAACAAGAATGGTAAACGTAGGAGGAGACTAAGACGGTTAAGTAGACAGATTTAGTAATCTGAGAGTAATGGAGAAATGACTGGCCACATGGGAGCAACAAACAAAACAAAAGCTCACAAACAAGAAAACTGCAGGTCTTCATAATCCATTTTAAATTGCTTCTTGCATGTTATATTTGGGATGACTTGCTAGCATGTTAATCTGGTTCTGTGTTTGTGTTTCTTTCCTTTGTTGAGTGTAGTCTTTGTGTTAAACAAGATTACACAACAATAGGGCACATTGCTTTTTTTATTTTGCTAAAAATAAGTGAATTTATTTGTATGTAAGTTACATACTTAAAAAATGAAATGGGTGGAAACTGATGGAAATAAAACAATATTGCAAAACTCTCGCAATATTGCGATTGCATCTCGACAATTTGCACAATTTGAGAGTTGCTTTTTATTCTATTTATTTATTTACTTACTTATTTTTTTGATTTACAGCTAATTGAAAGTAGCTAATTCGGATACAGAGCATCTCTCAGCATCAACATGGACGGACGGACGGAAAGACAGACAGACAGATAGATAAACAGATAGATAAACAGATCAACCTCAACCTCCACACACGCACACACACACACACACACAACTCGGATGCACACAACGCTCTCTTCTTGCACACTCAGCCCCTCACACTCACACACAATCTCTTACATAAAATAAAACACATACTCAAATACGCAGTAGCTCAGTAGGTTACACACTGACGGTGACATGTTGTCACTGAAAACACTTACGAGTTCAACAACAGCCATAAATGATTGTTCTACTCGTATGAATGGAATGAAAATTCTTATGTGAAATAGAGAAACAGAACTGGCGCTCGGCAAAAAGGCTTGAAAGATGCAGATTGAAATGTGTTGGGTTTTATCAACTAGAGGTCAAATATATTTTACATTACTGCTGTAATCACCCCAAAAGTAATCTAACATTGTTAGATTACTTTCATACTATTCATTCATCCGTCAAGTTCAGCATAAATGGCATCAAACACAGTGAACATTTTTGTTATTCTTACATTATTGTTCTAAGTATGTTTTCTTTGTGTGGTAATCCCGTTGGTGAGCTCGGTAATGTAAAGTATATACAATTCCTGTTTAATAAGATAAAACATAGAAAAGCATCATTGTATGGCAATTTAAAAGCTGCAGCATGAAATCTACTAAGCTAAGCAGCAAACACCAGACTCCACAAATTACTTAATAATTTGGAGTATTGCTAGTCCTCACAAGTTTCTACTATGTGAAGACTTATTGTGTCCCCCAATCTGACCATTTCTCCTCCTCTGTCCCATTTTTTGCTATGAGGGAGCCGATCAAACAACACCTACATGCTCTCAAGGAAGCAGTGGTTGTGGAAATACTACTGTGGTGAGAGAGAAAACCCGTGTTCCCAGAACTTGAATGAGTTGTTTTTTTAAAATAACTTATGGCATCTCTAGAATATATGTTATAAATGTTCTGTAAATGTATAATAAGTCACACACAACTATGTTTGCTTACATAGCAACAAATTGATGTGGCACATTTAGCTTTACTATGTGTTGGGAACACAGTGAGGGTGGACAGAGCAGAAATGGATTATGCCGCAGGAGTGGTTCGAGAAGTTGCTATGGACACTGATACACTGAAATACTGGCTGTGAGTGGAGCCTCACTTCACCATTTTTTTCTATAAATGGCTATGAGACCAAAGTATCACTTCATTAGCTTTTCAAATTTGAACAGAATTTGAGCACAATGTTGCACACACCAGGTGTCGAATACACCTTTGATGAAATATTTACGGTGACCAAATAAATTGTTAGCAAAGTGAAAATATAAATGAATGATAAATTACAGATGATTAGACATCTCATCTCTGAAAGCAGAAAAGAGCAGTGTGTCATGTGACTCCTACAGAGCTGCAAAAAGCTGCACAAACATTCACACACACACACACACACATACAGTATACTGTACATTATGCAGTCAGTGATGACTTGGACAGCGTGAATAATCCCCATCTGTTGAGGGAACATGCTACGTTTCCGTGTCCGTCTCGCACTACAACACACATACAGTACAAATCCCCTATGAAGCTAAAAAGCCCCCTTGCCAGCCTCAAAGAAAAAAACTAATGTTTGCACTGCATGACGAAGTTTTCTGATGACATTGCTACGCAAAAAGTTATATTGCCCTTTTGGCAATACAATCTGCGGTGAAATGATTTTTGGTGAAGTGAATAAACCCACATATCTACTAGAGCACAAGCTTTCCTTGTAGATGTATTTCATCTTAATTCTCAGTCTAATTTAAACATGTGCCTATAATTTATTCATGATTTTTTCATTCTGACTATTTTGCTATGACTACAAATACAAAAATCTAGCTGTAGACATGCGGGGTTAAAGTTACTACTTCATAACAATTGGAACAATGATGTCACGGTTAAAAGAATTCAACGCTGACTGTCGGTTGTAAACGGGAGCGGTCCCGTGACAAAGTCTCAAGTTTTGTTGACTATCAAACCACCCAAACAACAATAAGAAAACCGAATAATAAACGGTTGGCTAACAAGCTACATGCTGATGACATAAATCTTTGTCAAAAACCTGATTTGCGTGTAATACCGCGTTCATGTGATATTGTTCAGACCGTAATTACGAGCAGGGGAAAAAATGTCCGTCTCTGCGTTTTTATTCTGATTTGGAGTTATGCTGGCAACCAATCTGACCAAACTCTTTATTTGACAGGTCACAGTAGGAGAAGCACAGGCGTAAATAATTGAATTAAAGCTAACAGGCCTGCTTGAGCAGTTTCCAGAACTGAATCCCTCACAATCCAAGCACCAAATAATGCAATTCTTGCAAGAAATCTCCAAATCTCAAATGTTTTTGATACCAAATCACAGGATGAGCATCATTTGAGTGTAATGTGTAATCAAATCTGAGTTACATTCACACATTGCATTGTATTCAACGGTAATAGTTATTATGTTGTCAGTTGTTTGATGCTGTCAGATTACACGGTAATTTTGGCACCAAAACAAACTGCGTTTCATCTCTCACTGCCTTTCTGTCTTTTCAACTCAGTGCTGCTCTCACACATCATGGGGAGCTGCTGTGACACACGGGGGGATGACCTGCTGGGTGTGTGTAGTGTGTGTATGCGTGTGTGTGTGTGTGTGTGCACCAGTAATTGTGTGCGTCAAAAAAAGAATGAAACCCGACACATCCATCCAAATATTGCCGGGAAAACCCTCTGACGCAGTCCACACGTCAAGCCAATCACACTCATGCAAAGGTGTTGAGTCTCACCTTTGTGTGTCATCTGATGACAAATAGTGGCACGAGCAACTAGCAGCACAGTGCAAGTGCATGGCTTGATGCCACTTGGGTAAGGTAATAAGACATGACGGCATCTCTTTTATCCAAACAAATTTAAGTGCTGTGGCACAGTGACGTGCAACACCAAGCCTGCTCTGAATGCTGTCACTGCCAAGCTAAACTAAACTACTCTTAGAGATATTACAGGTTGTATAAATTGCAGTGTGTTCTTTTTTACGATCGAATTCAGCTCAACACACACTTTGCGGTGACAAAAAATACATATTTTTGGCCAATGTGTAACTTCTGACCCCTAAACCAAACCCATGAAATCACTCTGACATGCTGATCTGTACCATCACTCAGTAGGCTATATCCACAGCAGGGATATACACATGGCAGTAGCATTTAATAATGGAAGAATAATATACTTCAGCAAACCCCAGTTTATCCATTTCATGCCCAAGCCTTGTTTCTGTATTTTCCAGCACCACTCACCAGTTCTTGGTTGGTAGAGTTGGAGTCGTCTCCGGGGAAAGGGATGTAGATGGCTAAGGCCACACAGTTGGCAAAAATAGACAGCAGTATAAAGATATCAAACGGTCTGGAAAAGAAACTGTTAAGGACATTAATCAAATATATAGTGGTATTAGGATTTTGGAAGTTACTGAATCCTTGGACATAGCAGGGCATGTAAGTTGCTTAAGCTAATAACTTATTTATGAGCTTATTTATATTGTGTATTTTAAGCTATACATTCATTCATAAACCTCTCAACCATTCATCTGCTGAGCTATGAGGCAATTGATCCATACAAACAAACATAATCCCAAGCATCTGCCATCCATCCATATAACCAGAGCCTCTGTCTCTGGGCTGAAGGATACTTCCACTCCACCAGGCTGATGCAGGCCCTGCGGATCGGGTTGTTGAGGGTGAGGCAGAACAGAGCTCTGGGTGGCCTGCTGTTGGATGATCCTCCCTGCTTTTTGCTTTTGGCGTACTGCTGCCTCTTCCTCTGCGCCAGTGAGCCCACAGGAGCTGGTCCTGTGGTGCAAACTGTGGGCTGTGAACTCAAGTCAGGCTTTGCGACATTGCCCTGCGCTTGGCGAGCAGCACTAATGGCGGCATGCCAAGCGAGGACCGGGCTGACACCGGAACCAGTGCCACCGGAGTCCTGAATGCCACTGTTGGCCCCAAAGAGGCCACAAGACGAGCCGACGAGCTTGCCGGTGCTAGGCGGGGCATGCAGGGGCTCGGGGGGATGGAGCTGGTGCAGACGGGTTTGGCTTTCTGACCAGAGAGCTGAGGCGTCACCGGGGGGAGCGGTCCTTTTGTTGCTGGCATACTGTGCCCCTGGAGGAGGAGGGTGCGATCAGACACAAAATGGTCATGACATTTAGAGACTGTAAGTTTGAGTATAAACAGAAACATGTGCAAACATCATGTTCCCTGATGAAACTTTGGGGAACATGATGTTTGCCCCCCCCCCCAACATTTCCACTGTTTCATTGTTGATGCACCCACAGGGGGGCACCACATTCTATGCATGGCAGCTTTAACATTAACAACTCAAAATTGTCATATCATTTTAGAATGAGCCAATAGGGATGTAATAATACATTTATGTCCATAAAGGGCACTTAAAATAAAGGGGGGAAATGCTTTTAAAGAATAGGTCAAATAAAGTGCAATAGCATGTCATAGAGTTGCATATATGCTATATGTCCAGACTGGACGAAAAATGCTCGTGCAACTAGGTGCTTTTTTCAATAATAAAAGAGAAAAGGAAGCAAAGAAACAAACATTGATGAGTCTGACTTTCACGAAACAGATTGCGCAGTTGCTGTGAGTTAAGTGATGACGTGTATTTCAGTTTAGAATGTGATCTCATTTCTGTGAGCAGAGAAGTGCCAGAATTGAATTTGAGCAAACTGGAAAAAATATAAAGACCTTTATTAGGGGACTGGAGATTCTATTCTTTTAATTCTTGCAGATAAGAGCAGTGTCATTTCACATTTAAGCACTGCCGTGTACAACTTTAATACGTGCTGACAATGTATGTAACTGTACACTGGTACAAATGAAGATGAAAGCTGAACTTTAAGGAAAATATTTAACAATAACCTGGGCAGAAAAGTTAAAGGACGAAGAAGAACAAGAACCAGAACGAGAATAAGAAGAGGATTGTTTTGAAAGTGTAAAAGAGGGAGAGAGCACAGACTGCCTTAATGAGAGAGACAGAGAGAGTCATTAAAATCAATGCAAACCTCGAGTGAAAAAGACAGTGCCCTTGACACATTCACTTTGGTTCACTGCAGCTCTACAGCAGAAACACATTAGAGACAGTCACAGCTAACTATTGTGTTCAACTAGAAGAGTTCTCACACTGAGATGATCAAATGTAAAACACTGATTATTCATCAGGATACTCTTAAGACTGAGTGAGAGGGGGAAAGACACCTAGAGAGAAGGATGAATGAAGCCACTCGCGAACAACTGAGGGTGATTAAATGGTCAAAACAAGTCAGAGACTTAAAAACTTGTGTAGAGAAGGTTGCCACTGACTCTTGAATCTTAGATCTGTTCGCTGAATTCGAATGATTTGCTCTTTTTTTTTTTACTGCATTTATAAAAGCTATTTCAACAGAAATTCACCATTTCTCATCTGAATGAGTTACTGCAGAACCCTCCTCATTCCAGGACACAACATCGCCACAGGTGCAAAATAACAAGTGCAACCTGTTATTTAAAGATGAACACAGCTTCTCTGATCCGGGGTGTGACAGGAATAACCAGCAGCTCTGCTGGACTTCACACATACAGTATGGCACACGTTGCTGGATAACAACTGTTGACTCCCTGCTGTTGTTCTCAAGTTTAATTTGACCTGTGGTGGCTTTTTAAAACACTACAATGTTTTAAGAGCACATTTTGAACGTGGAACTGATTTTAAACTAACGGGATTCACCCCACACGAAAAGTTTATTTAGCGTCTCTCAGTTCATTGTGGAGGGCGCACACATCCAAAGCATCCTCCCCAAGCTGTCACATAGATCTAAAACGCGCACTTGGCCATGATGAGACCGAACGTGGTCAACCATTTTTCGTTGAACTACAGCAAGCAACACATTTCCCAATGGATTTGATGACTGCTGTCATTACAATCACGCAGCCTATAACAAGCGCTGACAATGTCAATACCCTATTACATCTGTGTTCCCAAATTAATTGGAGAAAAAATTCATCGATACAGATACGAATTAGATCATGAAACCACACAGAATGAACAGGCACCCAGAGGATAAACCAAACGAGCGCTCTCGCCCCCTCTCTCGCAGCGCTCCAACTCTCCTACTGCGCTCCACGCAGTGTTTTACCTTCAGACTGTTCATCTGCTTCTTGCATCCTCGAATCCACATTGAAAATGTCCGTTTTATGTCCAACTTATCGTTGGAAGAAAAACATCCAAAGGTGTCGACGCGTGAGCCTGAACCGAGCCGTCAACCTGAATTATAAAATATTTTCCGAGCGCAAACCCTGTGAGCAGCGCCAAACATTTTCGCCACATCCGGGTGCCCGCCTGCAGATTCACGGCGGATCCGAGGGGACGCGCTGACAGCAGCAATCAATCCAACTACTGTCAATTATTATCTGGACTCAAGTTACAGCAATCTACAGTATAGTCTGCTGGAATCACATCCGAACTGGATATGCGCCTGTTGCTGCCCACTAAACGTCAAAAGCGCTTATTAAACATCTCAACTCAAGAATAAAGTCTGGCAGGATTGCCAAATGTTTTCAGGCAGACAAAGGTAATTATTTATGCTTTAAACAGAAATCATCAATAGAATGGATGTCATGCGACTAAAGAAAGATATTATTCTTCATGAAGACTGGGCAGATGTCAACAAACAACCAATAAAGACACCAATAAGTCAGTATCTAATTAGATCTAGTTGCATAAATCGTACAATAAATTAAGCAGCATGTGCCACTGGGACAGACACACAGAGAGACGCCCACGAATTAAGGCCTTGTCTCAAAAACAACAACTAAACAGCATTTAACAACATGTGTTTAATCCGCCTAATGCATATTTATGTCAATGTTTAACTTCAATGCTTTGCGTGCGGTCATAGCAATGTGTATGACTCATTAGAATGCAAAATCATGCTGTAAATCACTCTAGCTTTCCCCTGTCAGTGTTTTCTGGATAGCAAGATAAACACCATGCCCTCATCCCATTGAGGTCTATGCTATATTCAGGGTCCTTGGACTTACCCCTCAGGGGTCTTCCCTTTATAATGAACGGCATTCTGTCACCTGGCTCTTCTCTGGGGCCTCATTGCGCCGTTTTCTGCCCTCACTCCGCAGTGATTGGAGAGGAAATGAGTTGTCGGAGCTGTGCTGGAAGGTTACCAGTGATTGGATTACCTGTGCCTGTATGGAGGATAACAGTTTCACGGTAGCGCGTAATCCTCCGATTATAATCCCTGTGCCAATGTTCCCTCAACAGAGGCAGGTGGGGCATGCAGCTGCAGCTCAACTGGACCAAATGACCGAGCAGAGAATTGTATGTTTATCTTTGGAAGTTATATAGTATGGTTTTAAGTATACTAAGTTATTACATTTAGGCTATTGTTTTTTTCCACCAATTTGGCATTTTCGCATGCGTAAAACAAAAAAGTCAAGACTTAACATACATCTTGAATAAATTCACTTCGATGCAAACAACTGGTTCATTTTGATTGAAACCTAAACTGCACAAATGTTCTCAGAGAGATTGGACTCAAACATACCTGTTGCAGCGCAGTCCTGAGGTTTATATGGCATGAAGATACTGGCAATATGTGATATGTGTATAAAGATAGGCCTATTGGCCTTAAATTGTTAGGAGAAATATATCAGTCCTTGGTTCACGTTATTTTTTTGAAAGTCAAATGTGTCTAATATTAATCACAACTATATGTTATGATTACAGTGCAACGATTGTCTTCTTAAATAATATTTTCTGAATTGTGTAGCTAGTTTTTAATTTCATTTAATTTTTAATCATCGACAAATTTGCACCTTAAAACAAAGATTTTTTTTAAATCATCAATTTTATTTATTTGTAATATAACCTGTTTAATTTTAGAAAGCACGTTGGCTGTCTTAAGTCTGCCCATCATTTACCAAATGCATTCCTTTTTATAAACGGCACTTTAACCAGTTGGGAATGACCTATTTTACGTTGCAGATTAAACTCTGCGGAATAAATAAATCTCTGTAAAACTTTTTGAGAGCCATGACTTCCGGGGACAGCGGAAGTTATAACTGTGTCTTCAGAAACCCGTCCGTGCTGGAGCAACAATCACATCCAAGATGGAGACCGTTAATGCTGGACAAATGATGAGCCTAGCAGCTCTACAGAGACAAGACCCGTACATAAACAAACTGCTCGATGTTACCGGCCAGGTGGCTCTCTACAATTTCAACTCCAAAGCCAACGAATGGGTACGTTTGTGCACAGATCCGAGACAGCTTCTTGGATAGGCTTCAAAAGTATGATACGGATGCTAGCATGTATGCTAACGCTAGCGCCATGATAAAAACATTGGTAAACACCAAGAAATATGTTGGTATTTGTCAAACTGTCACATATTCTCATTCTGTTAATGTGTCCATTGCTTTATTGTCAATAGGTTATAGTTATCTAACGCTATGTTGTGAAGTTAGCTTGTGGCGTTCGTTGCTATTATTCAGCACGTTTTGGATTAGCGGTTGTTGTTTTTTACACATAATGTCACATGTCGTTTTAGGAGAAGACCGACATCGAGGGTACCCTGTTTGTTTATGCGAGGTAAGCATATAACGTGTGAATAATGTTAATTATTAAACACGACCACCATGAATGTTGTTTACTTGTTAAGACTCAACGTGCGTTTCTTTGCGCTGCCACTTTGCGCACACGTGAAGGCTGCAGTCTTTGTAAACAAACATTTACTGCGGTCCGTTTAGAGACTTATCGGATTTCCTCTCTTTTGCAGCCTTTTTGCACACAGTGCTTCTTTATTAGACTCCATGTACTTCTATATGTCCACAGTTTTGACATTTAAGTTGTTTGTTACACTAAATGATGAATATTTACTAGGTGATAACTTGTATTAAGATTTGTTTGCCTTTACATTCAGTTCTTTTTGGCTTGATTTAAATAAATAGCTATCTTTAAGACATCAGCCGTGGCCCTGGTAACTTATGACACACATGACAAAATAATGCATCGGTTAATTATAGAACGAATATAATTGATTTATCAATAATGAAAATATCTGTCAGTTATATGTCAGCATCTGTCATGCATATACATTTTAAAAGTGATATATTGATTCAAGATTACTTTATTTTAAAATGTATTGATTTAGATTAATATATTTCAAAGAAATGCAAGTCTAGACAGTTTGCTAGTGTCAAGTCATGAGAAAGGTGTCGTACAGTGTGACCGGGGATGTTTTGTACCGTCAGAAATTATCTTACAGTGTTTGTTATCTTTGCTCATCTAAGGTCTGCCTCGCCTCACCACGGCTTCATCATCATGAACCGACTGAGCACAGAGAACCTGGTGGAGCCGATCAACAAAGACCTGGAGTTCCAGCTGCAGGACCCCTTCCTCCTCTATAGGAACGGCAACTGTGAGTATTTTGTAGAATAGAAGCTCAAACAAGCTAAAAGAGTAGATATCGTACACAGTACCGACATATTGATAAGAGATTATTATTCGATGTCGGGGATCCGCCACCTCCCATGAAACCCTTCTGTATCACAGGAAATGTACACATTGTGCACATGTCCTGCTAGGAGACAGCTGTGCTGGTGTTATTAACATTCAGTATCACACACACACAAACGAAGGGAATAGAATATGATGGTACCTCTGAAAATGCCGAATAAATAATTCCCCAGCGTTCTCTGGAACATCTCTTTTCCCTTTTGCTTGTAGTCATTTTGGCGTCTTGGAGTCTCATTTATCAAGAAAACTTCGTCTGAAGTGTTTTTTCCGCTCATGGCCTCACACCAGCCCACCGGACGGCAACAGTTTCAGCTCGGTTTGGCCACGGTCAATGTCATTCTGCATGCGGTGCAACAGCCAGAAATCATTTTGATTATAAATCAGACTACTTCTTTAACTATTTAAGTTGTGTTATTTACTGATTGCATTGCCAACGCTGCAGTCAGACTCCTTCTGGAAACTGTTCTGCGGGAAGTACGGTGAAACGAAAAGAGAGATGAAATGCCTCAGATCTTGAGAAAGTAACTGACGGCGCTGCCACCGAGGTAATCTATTAGAAGTCTGAACAGGAGTTTCATTAAGGCAATGAATAAGGAATTAGACTGTTTTCCCATTTGTTTGCTGATAAGAAAAAACAACATGGCCAGGGTCAACGTCAGAGTCGACTGCTCCCCTTTCGGGCTTGGTTTGCCCATCAGCCTGCCTGGTATGGAAGACATGATGCAGTTTCTTGTTGATATTCAGGCCAGAGCAGCTTCTCTGATGGCTTCACTTCGCTCTTGTTAGCATTTTTATTCCTGAGACTGGGTTGAGTTGTAGGGTACAGTTGTTGCGTAAAATACTGGTTGATGATATTCCTCAGGCTTTGTTGGAGCCTCTGGCAGCGCTCAGTCACCCGGAGGACCGGTCGGAATTAATTTTCTCTGGTCGTGTCCTCCCCTGGTTTTTTTGTTTTATTCCATTGGCTGGTTTTGACTGCGTGTGCAGTTCTCCCCAGTTCTCTTCAGTCCATTAGTGCTCTTCAGTAATGCAACTTACTGGCTGAGGATCCTTTTGGTAGATCTCAGACGTCAGTTGGTCATCACGTAGAGCCTGTCCTGGTGATTGCGCTCCTGTGAAGTTGTGGTTGTTGTGAAATGTCTTCAAGATGGTTTTAAGACGCCTCTCTCTGCGTTGACGACAGAACGATGAAGGCTAACCACCAAGAAGATTGTAGTTTGATTAAAACGTCCAACACGAGGAGGATAGATTATTCAGAGAGATGTTGATCATTCATGGTTACGTGTGTCTTGATCCTCTTTGAGTGCTGGTGAACGTGCTGCCTGAGTGTACTCAGACTCAGAGAATGCTGTTTAAAGAGACCAGTATACTTTGGACACACACCTGTTTACATCTCTCCATATTCCCCTTGGTGGCAGTTGATGCTGCAAGGAGGCAAACACTCAGGTTGCTAGGTTACCTCAGCCTCTAGAGGGACCTTCTATACGCCAGTATTTCATCTCACACACACACACACACACACATGACGCACAAGCAATGTAGAATTAACTAGTTATTGTTTCAGCAAAGACTGCTGACATACAATTTGTGTTTAATTTTTACATTTCATTGTGCAACAAATAGTCGGTTCCCTTTGGGTGCTGGTATATGGTATAATAATAATAACTTAATACTGATCAATCCTGAGGCCCAGTAGGCCAGGACAATAACCTTTAGTGTAATTGTATTGTGGTGATATGATCATATTTTGTTATTGTTCCGCAAAACTCATATCTAAACAAAATGTGAAACCTCAAAATGAGTTATTTTGGTTTGTTCTATGTGGGAAGAGCTTTGTCTCATGTAATGCTGTCTCCGCTACACATTGTGATGTATAGTATTTGTGATTTTCTTTGCAGTGGGTATCTACAGTATTTGGTTCTATGACAAGAGGGACTGTCAACGCATCGCTCAGCTGATGGTCAAGTGAGTAGCCGGACATCTGTTTACTGTATCTGTGTCAGGAGAAGATGGAACGGTACACTAAAAGCTCTTCAGAGTTCTTCACCCGTTAGGTGTTTGCTTAAGAAGCAGCTCTACTCGCATCACGAGGAGCTTTTAAATAGTTAAGTGTGTACGCTATATGTCACGCTTCAACTCTTCCCCAGGATTGTGAAACAAGAGGCAGACCATGCCCAGAGAGAGTCGCCAGAGAGGGCAGTGCCAGCGAGGGCCAATGGAGTCGCAGAACCGCGGCCCATCGACATCCTGGAACTGCTCAGCAAAGCCAAGGAGGAATACCAGAGAGTGAGGAGGCAAACACACGTACCATGTTGTTTATGTTCTTAGACGAGCAAACATCTTTAGCCTAATATGTATTATTGTAGTACTGCCATTTGGTTTGATACAGAACCGCAAATTGTTATTTCAGATTATACAAAAACATGAATTTGGATCACAGACTGTACATGGCTTAAGTAAAAATGTAGCCTGTTGAAAACACCATTTCATTTCTGTGTGTGATGTAGGCTCAGGCAGGTGAAACAGATGTGTCTGCAGAGCCTAATGGGAAAGCAGCTATCAACGCCACAGTGCATGCGCACAGCACAGCACATCCTGAAAAGGTACGTACTTTACACAAACATCTATGCAGAGATTTGATATTGATTCATGTATCCTGTTCAGTCCTACATACAGAGACCGGAGGAGGACAAAGAGATGGTGCATGTTTTAATTGAGTATTTGGCTGCAGACTGCAGCTGTTGGTTTTGTAGGTTATGTTGCAAACAGTCATCCAACCGTCAGCTTTTATGTGAGGCACAGGTCTGGCTTAAACTATTTTTGGACAATTGAGTTTGACAAAGATCATTTCATGAGAGCAGGAAAGGCAGCATTTTGACACAATAATATGCTAAAGGCATTATCTTGAATCTCTTTATTTTTATGCTGTTATATTGTTATTATGATATAAAAATTGCTCTATGCAGAAAATGGTAAACAATGCCCATCTTAAATCACAGAGTCTAATGTGACATCCTCATATTGCCGCAATATAAAAGAAAGACAAGCTAAAGATATATATATATATATATATATATATATATATATATATATATATAATGAGACAGAAAATCAATCAACAGCTGTTTATGAATGGGTTTTCTGTTTCTCAGCACTGCTCTGTATGTGTTTAATTCCCACCACAGCTCACACACCAGACCTCTCATACAATGGTGAAGCAGATCACAGTTGAGGAGCTCTTTGGCTCGTCGTTGCCCAAGGACCCCCCTCTACCCACCATGCTGGCACAGAACACCACTGCTGCCTCCAGTGACAGTGACCCCTCCACCGCTTACCTCCACAACCAGTCTTATCCCACTCCAGCCCACCAAAACCCGCTCTTCCCTCCCCATCTCTCAGCCCAAGACCCCGGGTCAAGTCAGCGGCACCAAGTCCCTTGCCTGCTCCCAGCTCCGTACGTGCTACACCCCAGCCCTGTTTTCCAGTCAGTGGTCCCGAGGTCTGACCCCCAACCTCGGTGTTCAGTCTCCCCTCTTATGGTGCTCCCAGCTGGCTCAGAGCCTCGTGCCGCTGTCCCTGCAGCACCGTCGGCAGCTCCTACAGCATTTTTAGGACAGGAGATACTCAACTCTCTCAAAGCGGCAGTGCCCTCTGTGAATTTGGACATCCACAAACCCATCCTCGCACCCAACTTCCTGCCAAGCACGCTGTTCCCACCCCACAGCTTCCAAGAGCTCGTGGGGAAACCCCTTCTCCAGCACAGCAGTGAGATGGATGTTTTCTCTCAGCCTCCAAACCTGGTCAAACCAATGTCTGTGAGTTCAATGCTTTTCTTAGCAGCAGTTTTTGTGGATCTGTTTGCTGATATCAACCTCATCAGTGTCATCAGTATACCGCAGCACATTTGATTATGATCCGACATATTGTGTGTTCCTGTGCTCCTTTGAACGTCTCCATCTTTCTTTTTCTATTCTCAGGTTGTCCCCATGAGTCCAGGTTTTGCTGTTCCAGTGCTGCCGATTTCTGTGCTTCTCTCCCCCAGCGCCTTCCTGCAGTCCGTCAATAGGACCACAGCAGCAGCGTCAGTGGTCCCACCTGCCCCCGCCGAGCCTTCCTGCGCCTCTGTAGGAGCTTTAGAGCCTCCACAAGCAGCCTGCAGCAAAACACAGCTGCAGGATACTCTCATACACCTCATTAAGGTACACGAAGGGCTTAGAATACATTAAAGCAGTGCTGTTAGCCTGTTTGAGTGTAGAAGCTGTTCTTACTTAACCATTACAATTTCAAAATGTAAAAACTTTAGTGTCAAGTTAAAGGGCTGGTTCACCCAAATTACAAAAACATGAAATCCTGGTCTAATTTTAGGATGTGGAACTTCCCAGGGTACGGAGGACCCTTTGAGGAACGCAGACACTAAGTGAATGTCGTCTTCCTGTCTGTATGCACACACAGTGTAGTTTGTTCATTCCTCTCTCGTTTACTTCCTCCTGGTCTAGAACAACCCAGACTTCCTTGGTGCCATTCATGATGCTTACCTGCAGAGTTTGTCCAAGGACCTCAGCAACATGAAGCTATAGTCAACGTCTACCATCACCACTGTCTCTTTCAGTGCTACCCCACCTCCGTGATCTCTGAGGAATCCAGAAGTTAACGGGACTTAGAGGAAGTGCAGATAACAGGTTCTCGACACACTGCACACCACAACTCTTCAAAACTGATCTGTGTTCTATGGCCTATTAAAGCATGCAGCGCGTCACCTCACCCACCGCTCCTCCTCTCAACTTGTTTTGGGTTTTTTTGAGTTCTCAGCTGAACACTGATGCTGTCCCGGCTACCTGCGGTACCTCAGATCAACTTTTTGTTTGCTTTGTCGAACCAGAACTTCTGTGGGAGAGAAGGACCAGATCAAATATCCCGGTGTGGCCTTGAGCTTTTATTTTTGACTTCATAAATATAATGAAACAGTTGGCCACGTACTGGTGACGTTGAGCTGTTGCTGTCACTTTTCACCTCGTGAAAGACGATGTTGCAGATTGAACTTTGTGGGAATCCAAGGCGCTGCTTCTCTTACTCATCTCACATGTTTGGACTTCTCGCAGTGCGAGAGTGTGGGAACAGTGATGAAGACTGCTTGATTAAAAGAAGGACCTCAGAACTGTAGTGTGGGTCTTTGCAGACAAACTGTCTCTGTGTGGACTTCTCGTTTTCCTTTTTTTCACTCATCAAACCTCCCTCTAAGTAATGCTGAGGCCGTTACCAACAGCCATCACAGTTATTGTGGACTTTTTGTCTCTTCCTTTTCAACTCTTGTCCAACGAAGATGAAGAGCCTTCGGTATTGTTTGGAGAAGCACTTGCAGCTCAATCTGGGAATCATTTCCTCTCTGCTGCTTTTTAAATGTTATGTTACGGACTGTGACATGTTCATAAAAACCCAGAGACGAACGCACAAACCAGCTTCCACGCTCCCCGTCCTTTCTCCACTTTCCTCCCTGTCCTCGCTCGTGCTCCTTGTCTGTGTCGTTCATTTCTCCTCCACCAGCTGAGCTCAGTGCGTGATGTTCTTTGAGGGGAAGGTGCAACAGACGACAGTCGCGTTGCTTTTAGGGACATCAGCATTTTGGGATACTTTATGACGATACGGTGTAGCTAAACTTATCTGAACCTCAGGATTCTGGTTCTGCAACAATGTATAATTTAAATATGAGAAAAATTTAAATCTATTGATTTTGAATCATTGTTAACATGCCCACCGTTGATATTAAATTGCTTATTGCTAGCTGATGACTGGTAGCTTCACTGTGTGTATGAAAACAAACTAATGATGACAAATATAAACTACCTCCATTCCCTTTTCCAGAACACAGTTGAGTCAGAAGTCACAAAGACTGAAAGAAAAACTCGTCTTTTTTTGATTTTTTTTTTTTTTTTTTTTTTTTTTTTTTTTGTAGTAAAATGTTACTGCAGCACAGAACCATAAACCCTGCAGACCCCGGTGGGAACAGAAGCTCGTCTCCTCATCATGTGCAACACTGAGTGGCTAGTTTACGCTTTTCGTGAACAAAGGAAACTAATCCAATGTACATGAGAGAATCAGATTTCAAAGACTTGGGGAAGAAAGGTTTATTATGCGTCTCGTGGGCATTTCTGAACACACGCAGCAGATTGCTAATAGGTTTCATTTACCCTGTTGTCACCAAATGTTCAGCACCCACTAGATCATTAAAACAGTATAACAATGTAAAAGCGCAGACATTTAGCTTTACGTTTGTTCAGTGATGTCTGATGTCGATAGTCAGCTCATGGGTGATGTGGCTTATTTTTCACGCGTTACTTTCCAGATACTAAAATTCTAGAAGCACTCAAAGTACTGAGTCACTCCAGATGGTAACCTTAGCAGAATACTGTTTTTAGGTTTAACAAACGGAGATTATTGCTCTTTTTGAATGTTTTCTTGCTGAATTTCATGTAATCAACATTTGGAAATAGCCGAGGGAGCGATATGAATCTCTGCATAGATATCTGTCTCGATAGTGAAACTACAACTTTGCATTATGTTCTGCTATTTGAATGTATTTGATTACTCGCAGTATATATATGTGCCAGTCTTGTTTTCCTCAAGTTCAACATGCTTTCAGCACCAACTGTTAATCGTGTTTTTCTTTCCCTTTTTGGCTTTTGCAAAATTAAGATATAAATCTTAAACAGGACGTGTCCACAGCCAGTGAGCAGATCGGATCATTTGTACACTTTTTTGGCCCCGTTTATAATCTTTCCAACTCTTCTGCCATGTGTTGCTTAAATAAACGCACAAAGGGAGAATGTTTGAAATGTAGTGTTTTTTTTAAATCCGGGGCATATATTTAAGATTTTAAGGTTGTTTTGTGCTTTGACATAATTTATCTTATTGGCCAGAGATATAATTTGGGGAAAGTCTTTGCAAATTATAATAATTTTTTAAGACTGTTGCCACTGTATATAATTTGGTTTATTTTGTGATAATAAAAAAATGTAAATAGAGTTGTCTGTTTTTGTTTCTGTCAGCTGTGAAACTAAGCTTTAAAGATTGAACAGGATTGTGATTTATTTATTCTTTATTTTCGTATATGCTTTGAAGCGGACAATATTGTGAATCAAAATTGTGTCACATTTTCTGAAGAAGGTTTCTAATTGGCATGAATTTCAGAGAAAATCTAATTACATTTTTACAGATGGGTTCCTGAGTCTAAAGTGCGTCATTCAGTAGAGGAGAATGATGCACTTTCTCTGTTGGACCACCAGAGGTCACTATGTGCTCACTGTGGATCGGTGACGGTTGTGTGTCTGTCAACATTAAATTGTAATCAGTTGGTATCAGGCCCATGCAAGGGTTTGTTTAATCCGAGAACTTGATCCGTAAGCCTTTCTGGGTTTAAGTGACAAAACAAATATCTCTCCTCATCTACAGGGAGATATTGTCCAACTAGATTGTCAAGGATGTCATTATTTCCTTTTTGGAATCCCCCTCCCCAGGCCCCCTGCTGCCCAAATGTGGTCAGTCTCAGCCAGTGGCGGGAGTCCCCTGAAAATCCAAGAGAAAAGGTTAATCCTCTAAAATTAACCTTTTATGACTTTGTCAAACCAAAAAAAACACTCAACCTGGAAATCACAAATCCCTTTACTAGCTGAGTCAGACTTTACCTGAATGTAAGTGCAGGTTGCAGGTGTAGCTGTGCGCTGTAGGTAATCAGGTCAGCCTCCGTGGGAAACGTCACTAAAGATTACTGTCATTTGTGATCCTTCCTTTTGCATGTCACCCGTCCCTGCTCTCGTTATGTAAATGCCGTGGCTTCACAAGACGGGCACACTTAATTGTTTTAAGAGAGAACTGATTATATTACACTCGAATGTATCTGATATGTTTGCCTAATATTTGCACTGCAAACTTTTTCATGTCAATCACACCAGAATGCTTTTAAATTGGACCATAGACCGCAGGTCAAGCCAAACATACAGTATCATTCTGCACTTCACTCAGAAACCATATGAATTAATTAAAAGTAGAAGTGGTTTCTTGATGACATTTGTGCAGATTATGACCATTCACAGTTCCACACCAATACTGTCACATTGTGCAGCAACATTGTGGTTTTAGAATATTCTACAATTCTGGCTGTTTATAATAAATTCATCTAGAAATGGTCACAACACTGCACGAAGTTGTTTGCATTACTAGATGTTTTTCTGTTTAATTTAACTCTTGAATTTTCTGTCATTAGATACTGTGGTGGGAAAAAAACAATTCAATAGTACCGAGTGAGTCCTATAATACTGAAACATTGAGAGAAGAAGTTTCTCTTTAGTATTTATTCTCTGGCCAGAGAAGGCTCCACCCTCATACTCACTTCAACACAGTCCGCAGAGGATGAGCCAAGAGTTCAGTTTGTCTCCTGCTCTTAAGCATCTCAGCACACAGCAGGGGGGGAACATCAGGTATTTACAGTATAACAATTGATCAGTTTCAAGCTCCCCATTGACACCTCCAGTCACCCCCTTCATCTTCTGAGCCTTGTCACACAAAGACATGTCTTTATTACCTTTGATTATCTCTGGGAATCTTCACACCCAAACATTCTCTGTTTTCACTGTAACCCCCATTTGGTTACTTCCCCTAATCAAAGCAAAGACAGAGACACCCCATATGGTCCTGTTACCACTCTCTTAGGTACACAATCATGTCACACATATCGTTTTGTTAGTGAGTAAGGCACATAAACTAAATCACAGTAGAAATGTACTGGCACACCTAAATTTCCTATCGCAATACAATATGGAGCTGTGGAGGTTGAACCTGCGCGGATCGTGCCTGTCTATGTGCGTGAGCGTGCCAGTGTGCGTGTGGCCTTGGTCTCAGCCCAAAGCCCTCCTACTATTTTGCTTATTGGTGCACATGCGTGACAGTTTGCAGTAACTGTCGTCTGCTTTTAGCCTTAGATTAGCCATATTCATAGGCTTTGCTTGCAAACACGCCCCGTCCCTCCTCTCTGCCCGTCAGGTTCAACACTACTGCCTCTTTTTAACCCCTGCCACCGTCTGCTGCACATTTATCGCCTTTATTCTCGGGACAGCAGACCGTGGACTTTTAACTCTTCACTCCATTTAACCGGCTCGTGTGTGCGTGTGTGCTCTTCTTCGGTTCATCGGCCAGATGGAGGACTACCATAAACCCGACCAGCAGACTGTGCTGGCGCTCAGGAACATCGCCACCAAGCTCCGGATCAACTCCATCAAGGCGACAACTGCAGCGAGCAGCGGGTAAGAGGATGAATACGGAGCTGAGATTAAACCGTGCCTGAGATGTATAATAGTATGACACAACAAAGCAAAACAAGGCTACTGTCCTGGGACAGTAGCTAAATGACTCTTGCACTTGTCTGTTATAAAGGGCAAATAATAAAGTGGAAACGCGGGCTGGAATTTACACAACACAAAGCTTGTTTCCCAATGGACTGACTGTTCGCAGCAGAGTGCGTACCGGAGCATCAGCAGTATAAAGCATCATGCAGAATATGTTAATGTTAACGTCCCGTGTGCCAAAATAAGGGACTTGACATTGAATTCTCCTTATTTATATTTTCTCTGAGCGTAAAACAGTTTTGTGCCAACATGCGTTATGCGTAATTTACGCACTTTGGTAGGTGTAACGCGTCAGAAAGTTGATTACTTAGCATTTTTCTGTGCGCAATGAGACATATTCAATTAAATTAACAGACGTGTTGGTTTGGCACAAACGCCCCTTCAAATTATAAAATATTTATAATATTGTGTCGGATTTGGAGGCTCGGCATAAATTCCGGCAGGTGTACCAGTGTTCCGTTCTCCCTTAACTCTTCGCGTACTCTGTGATCGGTTGTATAAAAGAGGTGAGCAGAGACACGATCGGTGAATGCATGATCGCGGAGAGACAGCGAGATCCTTCTTGTGGCACTGGCACCTCTGTGGCACTCTGTGGCACTCAGCGGCACTCAGCGGCAGTCTGTGGCACTTCAGCGGCAAGCGTCAGCTGTGGCAGGCGACCGGTACTAGTTCGGCACCCGTCAAGAAGCGGCGGAGCTGAGGGGGCGGAGCCACATTTCCTGAGACATTTCCTGAGAACACACGTTGTTGTTACAACAGGTCAGCTTCTGTAAATCAGTTTTATGATTTTAGTTGAGTCACCGGAGCCACCCGTTCTCTGTATGCATCCTTAGAGTAATTACGTTGTACTTTTTTGTTTCTCATTCATTTTATTTAAGTATGATTTTGCTGGTTTTGCAACAAAAGGGAACATAATACACTCTTTCCAAATTATTACTTTTATAGTCATTTTCAACAATCGGCTAAAATAATGAAAATAAATCATCCGTTTTATTATCATTTAAAAGTGTATATATATATATAAATTTTTTTATTTAATATTAAAACCAATAAAATGTCCAATCCAAAAATACATGTCTGAAAATATCTTCACTCTTCCTCTGCTTATATGTATATGTATGTCAGTAGGTGCCACAAGCTGCCAGAGAGTGCCAGAGAGTGCCACAGGGTGCCAGAGGGTGCCAGAGAGTGCCAGAGGGTGCCACAGGGTGCCAAAGAGTGCCACAGGGTGCCAGAGAGTGCCACAGGGTGCCAGAGGGTGCCGCAGGGTGCCAGAGAGTGCCAGAGGGTGCCGCCAGCAATCAGAGGGATTAGGAATTTTTTGAATATTCTAGAGTCAAACTTTCTATATCTCAATGGCAATACAACTGAAGTAATTTTATTTGGACCACAGTATTTGACCAACATTATATCTTCTCATCTTGGCCTTTTAACTTCTTCTGTTTCACCAGTCAATTCAGGATTTAAGTGTGACAATTAAATCAATGAAGTAGGTAAATTAGGCTTAGTGTTTGAAAAGAATGAACCAAACATCTCTTTATTTTTCAATTGTCATTATTTATTGCTTCATGAACTACACATGCTCACTTTTCTATTACATAAAAATAACAAGTAAATACATGATGTATACAACTAGGTTGCAAATTAACCATCAACATCAAATATCAGATGAAATAACCTGCATTAAATACATCTGTATCAATAACACAATTAACAAAGACACAGGTAAATATAACAAATCTATGGTTTAAATACACGTATACTGCCATCTAGTGGTATAAATGGTAAACACTATGCTCTGCGTTCACTCAGGCAGCAGCACAATACGGTGGAAGAATAAATAGCAACAACTCTGCACACACAAAAATGACTTTGATTAAACTATATTAAAAACTGTATTGCATCAAACAATCCACAGATTAATTGAAAACTTGATTCTTGCTGTGTACATGGATAAATCTTCTAGTGTTACCCTGGTTACCATTTTCTTGCATACGGTCATTCTATTACCTTCACTTTTATTTTGACATATTCTTACTTCCGGACTACCTGTTTTACTTTGCGTTTCTCTTCAAAAGAAAAAACAAATAAACCATAAAACAGACTATCAAAACATACACGGCACAGGGGGGCACCCTCCTCTGACGGCTGGCGGCACCCTCTGGCACTCTCTGGCACCCTGCGGCACCCTCTGGCAGCTTGTGGCACCTACTGACATACATATACATATAAGCAGAGGAAGAGTGAAGATATTTTCAGACATGTATTTTTGGATTGGACATTTTATGGGTTTTAATATTAAATTAAACATTTTTTTTATATATACTTTTAAATGATAATAAAACGGATGATTTATTTTCATTATTTTAGCAGATTGTTGAAAATGACTATAAAAGTAATAATTTGGAAAGAGTGTATTATGTTCCCTTTTGTTGCAAAACCAGCAAAATCATACTTAAATAAAATGAATGAGAAACAAAAAAGTACAACGTACTTACTCTAAGGATGCATACAGAGAACGGGCGGCTCCGGTGACTCAACTAAAATCATAAAACTGATTTACAGAAGCTGACCTGTTGTAACAACAACGTGTGTTCTCAGGAAATGTCTCAGGAAATGTCTCAGGAAATGTGGCTCCGCCCCCTCAGCTCCGCCGCTTCTTGACGGGTGCCGAACTAGTACCGGTCGCCTGCCACAGCTGACGCTTGCCGCTGAAGTGCCACAGACTGCCGCTGAGTGCCACAGAGTGCCGCAGAGTGCCGCTGAGTGCCGCTGAGTGCCACAGAGTGCCACAGAGGTGCCAGTGCCACAAGAAGGATCTCGGCCCTGCACTGATCGCGTGTATTCAGCCCGTATAGGTCGACGTGGTGTGAGGAGGCAGCGGGATGGGACCTGAGGACGCACGGACGCGCTCCTGCAGCTCTGCCACGCCTGCGTGCGTGCGCCGGTGCAGCCTCTCACACAAATGTCATGTAGCTATGATAAAACGGGACAAACACGTCCAGTGAGAGATTTCAAAATAACATCCGAATTCAAAAACGGACTACAATATTATCGGAGTGATGGAAAATAAATGATTGAAATTAAAATAGGATTACGTGAAACTGTAACTTCTGCGTCCCTTTTGAACTTTCAAAGCGGACCCTCTCATCAGAATATAAGCAGGGGGGTTATTAGACAGCCCTGTTTTGACTCTACAATGTGTTCCTGTGTATCGCCTTCTGTTTTGCTTTTCTTGTCGTTATGATTAGTTGTTTAATTTTCTCTAGCGTTTGATTATAGGTGATCTAGGTAAGCTACTTTTCTTTAAGTCAGTTTCGCACATGCTGTGAGTAAAGGGCTCTATGAACAAGAAATTCCAGTTTGATCACTGAAACAGGCACATGGTAAACTAGCCTACCTTTTCCGTTTCCCATGTTTTATTAATTCCATTCTTTTATCGCAGCCAGTTTTCATGTTGCAACCATAGATCTAGCATCTGTCACCCTCTCATAGAGCACCCTTCATCCCACATAAACTCAATCTTATGCTTCATCTCCTGGTTTTTGCTTTTGCCCATTTTTTTATTATTTGATCACGTTTTCCATTCCAGGAGAATAAGGAAAAGGCCTTCATGGAGGAGGTCTGACCTATAGTATAACCTGGTCTGGCATGACTTAACCCACTAGGTCCAATTTGACAAAGAGCCAAACTCAACTTCTGATTGCCACTTTGTTTCTCCTTTCTCCTCTGCATCTGTGTGTGGACAGTATGCTCTGAACATACTTATAGATTTCCACAGCGCAATTAGGAGGCACATCAAGTTTTAAAAATGTCATTGCTGTGTGTCTAATTTCTCTCTCACCATCCTTTTGTTGCAGTCATCCCACATCATGTTGCAGCGTGGCAGAGATTATGTCCGTGCTGTTCTTTCATACCATGAAGTACCGACCTGAAGACCCCCGTAACCCCAACAACGACCGCTTCATCCTCTCCAAGGTAAAACACACTCACAACCACACATAAATAGGTGGGTGGCAGGTGTTCCTCTGATGCATGCACAAAAACAACACACAAGGGACAACTAAATTACTAACGAATTATGAGGTGACGCATATTGAGAGAATGTCCATTCATTTCTAAGTTCACATGCATATTTCTTTGTATAGTGTTTGGTGCCAGAGGCAAATTCCAGACTTTACTTTGCCAAATGCCACTTCTAATTTGACGTGCACACACACTTCAGAATGACATTTTATTCTTTGTTCTCTCACATTTTATTTAGCAGGGAACTCTTGGGAGTCAGGTGTAGTCAAAGGTACCTGAGGAGGAAAAATGTAAATTATAGAAGCAAAAAACAGGATCTTATAGCTCGCTTACATTGATGAGCGTTTTATAAACTCTGATAGCAGCTCCAGCTCCAGCACCAGCAAATCTGGTGAACAATATGTGATCTTACACTCTTAACCATTGACCTTTCACCTCTGCCTCCTCAGGGTCATGCAGCCCCTGTGCTGTACGCCGTGTGGGCGGAGGCGGGCTACCTAAAGGAGAACGAGCTCCTCAACCTCCGCAAGGTGGACTCCATCCTGGAGGGACATCCTGTGCCGGTGAGGTGACGTTCAGACTTGCAAGAAGTTCTGGGTCTGAAAGCAATCCACTCCAACATGCCAACACATGTGCATTCAGAACACATTAAAAGCCTTACACTACCCTTCTGTGTGTTAGTTTTGGGTTTACTGGTATTTGGACAGTAAACAGATGTGAAAGACAATATTTAAGACACGACTATACCAGTGAATGAACATTGAGGAAACGTTCATAGCTCCTCAACCACATCAGAATCTTTCTGATTTGACTTCAGAACTGTTTCCTCAGCGTTTTCATGATGTCTTTTACCAACTCAAAGATCATATTAACGTGTTGTGCAAGTTTGCTTTCTACCTCCTCCTGCATGTAGCCATCTGTCAAACTCTGCTTGCTCATTTGGGCTGTGGGCAAACCTTTTGACCACATCTAAGAATCTTAAAATATTGATATGACATGACCTTGGAAAAATATTTTTCCTGTTGGAGATGGTTTGGACTTTTGAACAGTGGTTCCCAAGCTGGGAATTTAGACCATCCAAGGTGGTTGCAAGATAAATAGGAGAGTGAAAAAGAAAGAAATATCTTCGTGCAACACAAAAATGAGGTTTCCGTTTTCAAGCCTTTCTGTAATCTTTGCCTTTTCCCTTTAAAATACTGGATCTTTGCAAGCCCAAAAAGTTTGTGGAATTACTACTTTAGAACACAACATGTACACTTGCTCGACATTCTGTTCATAGAGACATAAACACATTTACACAGATAACAGACAAACTGTATGCACGAAGGGACCTCGTGACAAAGATGTTCTTGTGTGACAGAGATGGTCTGTCCCCGGCTCCTTTCTCCTTTGCTGCAGACATTAATAAGACACTGTTCACATAAACCCAAATACAGACACACTGCTAGTCACAGACTTATAGCAACATGATATAATCCATCCACTGTATTTCATGCTTTCTGTGTTTGCAATCTTGAGTTCTCCTGCTATCTAAAGAGTGAGATATGTGTGTGTGTGTGTGTGTGTGTGTGTGTGTGTGTGTGTGTGTGTGTGTGTGTGTGTGTGTGTGTGTGTGTGTGTGTGTGTGTGTGTTAACAGAAGCAGCAGTTTGTGGATGTGGCCACTGGATCTCTGGGTCAGGGGCTGGGAGCTGCCTGTGGAATGGCCTACACTGGAAAATACTTTGACAAGGCCAGGTAACATGCACAAAAAAAATGCGTGCACACAAATTGTGATTTAGAGTCCCTCCCGAAATACAAAAGACATTCATGAAGGAGCACAGCACCCCAGCTTGCATCTCCACATATTGAGATAGACGGTATGAAATGATGCATGATGCATGATGTACACTGCAGTGAGCGGTGCTGACATGTGACATTCCAGCCTATACATTTGGATCAAACCTCACCTGACAGGCCTGGTCTGGGTTGACATATAGGCAGTCACTCAGAGAGCCAGGAGATCTGACCTTTGATCAGTTTACCTTCATATCCGGATGAGTGAGGGTATGTGCTAAGTGATCCAAAATCAGAAATAACTCTTGGGATAGATCAAGTGCTAAATAAATCAGTGATGGGGATTATTTTGTCTCTTCATAAAGGTGAAATTCATATATTAGAGATTCTTTTATTTTATTTGCAGCTGCTTCTTTTATATTTAAGGTTGACGGTTTCAACATATTTACATCACAATAGATTAACAGACCTGAAATGGACAGTGGTCATCTACTACTCAGCTGAATGTTAGCAGCGTTGCAGATGAGTCCTCGTGCGTCTCCTTTGTTCTCGTGTGATCTAGAAAGAGCCACATGGTCTCCAGTCCAACAATAGAGAGAGCGAAATGGGAACGCATGCCATTCAAAAGTGTCAGAGCTGAACACAGGAACATGGTTTGACAAATTTAACTGCGGACAGAACAAAGGGAGGCGGCAATTTTGTAAATTTTTGCACATTTTTACACATAACAGACGTAGTGAAAACAGGCGGTCAGGGAATGCCGTATGTGCAGTCTGTGTTGGCGGCCCTTGATATCTCTCACTCTGCATTCTGTGTGCACTCGATTGTTTCTGCTCTAATAATCACACATGCAAGAGCACAGCTCCTCCCTCATCTCTATGCCTCACCCTTTACTCTCGTTCTCGCACCAAAAAAATGCCATTTCCCATCCCCATGCTTCGGTTGCATCTCTGTATGTGCAGTAGATTATATTGTGATTGTGAACACTGTGTGTGGTTGAGCGTGCATGCACAAGGGCGTATGCTTTTCCCCTGCGATGCTCAGAGCAGCTTGTCAAACTAATTCGCTGCAACATAGCAGCTCAGCACTCGCTTGAGAGAGGGCTGCATCACTGGTTTCAGAACACAACCTGAGACAAAAACTGCTGAATGGCATCTATATCAATCCCTCCTAGAGACGCACACACACACTTACACACAACCTATGCTGCACGATCAATGGGACTTTATTTTATGTTCTGGTCAAATTGTATCAGGAAATTAATCAACAACCAAACTGCCGCTCAGCTTCTCTGAGGGTGTGGTTTATTAAAAATCAATACATGAATGAACCTGTCAAATACACTTATCAACAGGGACTGAATAATTGACACTTCTCATTGCTTCATGCTTATGTGACTCTGGTTCAATGCTCTGATCCAATAACCTCGTATTTACAACTGCAAACTCATGCAGGGTTCTCCTCCTCATGCTCATTCACGCTTCACACACAAAAACCCAGAAGAGAACTCATCACTGAGTGTATTGGCTGGAAGTTTCATCTTCGTTGGTTTTGTGTTGGCAGGGTTTAATGGAGGGGGTGACACAAAATGTGAGGGAGGTGTGTGGGTGGACGGGTTTGGGATGTTGTCAAGGGGAGGTATCACCTTGTCTTGATCTGTTATCCTCACCTTGCAAAGACAGGATGAAAGAGAAGCACACACTCCTCACACCTACTCGGGGATTATTTTACTCCTACAGCTGAAGCACTGATCAACCTGCTGTAGTTGTACTGTATGCCCTTCAGACTGTGTTCTTGATACCAGATTGGTTTCATCTTTGGCACAATCTGTTGCAGATTTTCACAATCTGCAATTTTTACCACTGGTACTTACAATTTTGAAAACCTCAGAATTGAAAAAGAATGAAGACTAAGACGACTTTATAGTCTCTACACGACTGGGATCACTTGAATATTAGGTCGTTATCGTACACATGTGCATACTGTATACATGGAAAAATCAAATACAACAAATACCTAAAGGGTGAAACTTCTATATTTGAATAAAATAATGTGACACAGAAGACATTTAAGTAGAAACCTTGAAAATTTCTCCCAAATATGGTAAAGTGATCTGAAGCCGCTAAAGATAAAAACACATTACTGAGATTGTATAATTCATTTAATTCAAACTTAGATCTGAGAGGAGCCTTACCTTCCTGATCCTGCTGTTTCTTTAGACCAATAAAATGTAAAAATGTTTAAAAATATCTAATAGGTGAGTTACCTTGATTTCAATACCTGCTCTTATTGTACGTCTTACCTTAACAGCTGCTCGTACTAAACTGAAATAAATGATTGCTTCAAGCTGAGTTGCTTAAATGATCATCCATGTTAACAAAATGTTCTATATTTTAGAGACCTTGAATGATGAATGCAAGCTGGCACTTTTACAAGATTTGGTTCAATGCATCTGTATATTTATTACTGCGGATAGTTTCAGCAGACACATTTCAGAAACCAACCATTAGAGATCAGTCTAACTGGTTATTCATTTTTCATCTCCACCTCTTTTCTCTCCATCTCCACATCTGTGGAATTCCTCCCTTCTTTTTCTTCCTCTCTTTTTTTTCTGTGGCGTTTGTGTATTCGGGGTTGGAATGCGTAGTGAAATGCGACGTGTCTCAGTCCATCTTCCAGCTTTAATGAGAATGTGTCTATTTGACTGGAAAGCTGTCAGGAGTCGTTACACCGCCGGAGCAACTGAGGATCATCAGAGCTCAGCGAGGGGGGAGTGGAGTGTGTGTGTGTGTGTGTTTAGGTGTGAGGGTCAGCTGTCACATTGAGCCCAATAGGAGGAATCAGAAGATGGGACGATGTGCCCCCAAGAAAATGGAGCTGATACGGAAAATGACAGCTCTCTACTATTTATTTATCTTTTTCTTCTGGTCTGTCTTTATAAGCTGTGAATATAATTAACATCTCTCTCTGGTCGTAGCTATCGGGTGTTCTGCCTGCTTGGTGATGGAGAGATATCCGAGGGCTCGGTGTGGGAGGCCATGGCCTTCGCCTCTTACTACCAGCTAGACAACCTGGTGGCCATTTTGGACATCAACCGTCTGGGTCAGAGCGACCCGGCTCCACTTCAGCACCATGTGGAGAAGTACCAGCGACGCTGTGAGGCTTTTGGGTGAGCAGGGGGAGTCAGAGGGGGAAGCTGGGTTGGTGGGTGGATGTGAAGTATGCGTATATCTGAATGCTGAAATGATTAGATAATTACTTGGGTAATAAACCCAAAGAAATTATTCAGCTTTGATAATCAATTAATTGTTTTTCATTTAATGAAGAAAGAAATGCCCAATATTCACAGACTATAATTTGTAAGAATTTGTGTATTAGATACAGTCTAACTTTGTGACCCAAAGTCTGCTCCTCAGGACTAATGTTTGAATAAGTTGACAAAGATGCTATGAGCTGCCAGTTTAATCTGGCCTGCTTCATGTCATCCCTCAATCCAGCACTTGCAAAGCACTGGTATGAGCTAAAATGCTAAAATATTGCCACGATGTAAAGTGCTGTAGAGCCATCATAAGTAGGGTGAAAGGTGGTGATGAGTTTAAGGGATCCTACAGGAATTCCAGTAGGATTTTTCCATTAATTAAACAAAACCCATAGTTGTTTTCATTCCTAAAAATGCACCTATAGGATTGCATTTAAAGTTTGATCTCTTCTGTTTTACCAGATGGCATGCAATCATTGTGGATGGCCACAGTGTGGAGGAGCTGTGTAAGGTGCTGAGTCAACCCCGCCACCAGCCACTTGCCATCATCGCCAAGACCATCAAGGGCAAAGGCATCCCAGGTACAATAATCAGGCACACATGCAGTGATCCACAGTACGAGTACAAAATATCAGTGTGGTGTAGATTATAAGTAAGATTCTTACGTGAAAAACTCAATAATTCCTTAAATAAATGAAGGATGTGAGCTGTTGAGTGTGTGTCGTGGATCAAAATGACCTACTTTTTTTTATAAGTACCATCATTATTTTGTTTTGTTTGAATGTAGATGTCTTTCTTATGTAATCTTACATAACATATTTCAAGCAAAGGAATTCAAAACTATCATAACAAGCACATTTTTACATAACCATGACACTGGGCGGTTATTCCTGCTCCAAAAACCTGTTTCTAAATGATGACTTGGTAAAACGGTGGCAACTCACTGGGAACAATATTTCTGTCAGAAGTTTTCTTAACTGCCCCGGGGACCCGCCGCCAGTGCAAAGGGGCCCTAACTCGCTGTAATCCAGACAGTGCTTTAGTGCTTTAGCTGCTGCAGCACAGTAATCCTTCAGAATGTGTAGGATACACTCGCAGCAACAGCCCTTTATGCTTGTGTTGTGATAATGGTAAGGGGCAG